GTGCAAAAATGAGTGACAAAAAAAGAAAAACAGAGAAAAAAAACACAAAACTCAGGTCAAACTCAAGGAATGGATTTATAAAGGAGGAAGAGAGAGTCATGCAGTCCGCATGCGGCCATGCTGGTGTGGTGTGGTCCAGTTACCCGGGGACAGGTAGCCTTCACATGTCTCCCGCAAGACGATCCAAGGAGGTACCCAAGAGTCTCCAAGGCAATATCTCCAGAAGAGCTACCCAAGGATTTCCAAGGTACTCACCAAGAGTTTCCAAGATACTCATCAGGATGGTACCTGAAGACCTACTACCATCAGCTAATATGCAACGTTAGAACCGTCTTGCTGTGGATATATATATATATATATAAAACACTATCATTAATGAGAAACTCCGTAGGAGCCGTGATAAGGATTCGAACCCATGTGCTAGGTTCTGATTGTCTGGGGCGTGTGCGTGCGACTACACTCACCGCATAGGTTCGAACTCCAATCTCAACACCTACGGATTTTCTCACTGCTGTAGTCATGTTAGTCTGACTACTCTCCGTGTGGACTTTGATTAATAATGCTATTATTTTCGTCCTTAAAGTTTTGTTGACAACGTTAGGCGTTATTAGACTGGTATAGGAGTACGAGAGGTAAGAGCCAACACAGGTAACTGGAGCCAAAGCACACTCATTAATTAGGATTTGAGGAGGTTGTTAAGACGCGACAATCCTTACCCCCGTGACCTTCACCGTCGTCCCCCGCGAAGCGATGGTCGCGCTGCGGGATGGAAGGTTGGCAACGCTCCTCTTAAACTTGGTATTACCAAAAAAATCAAAAAGTAGAATTGCTTCGTGTCAACATTGAAGAGGGAGTTATTTGCACCGTTATGAAACACCAACGATTGTTGTTAACGTTATAGATTAGCATCGAAGTCCTTCCCGCTTGGCGACCATCGATCCAGCGGGCTTCAATAGGGACCCAGTGCCCTCACAAGAGCTCAGGGATCCCTTCACCAAGATCCAAGAGCCCTCACTCGGGCCCAAGGGTCTTCATGCGGGCTTAAGGGCCCCCTCGCGCGGGTCCAGGGGCCACTCACTAGGGTTCTAGGGGCCATAATACTCAACATGCAAGACCAGCAACAACAACAAGAGCGTCGGTACACTTACCACATAAGCATCAACGACACGCCATATTAAAACTCGGATGCAATTGGAGCCTCTCGGAGCGCTGGGGCCCCCCGGCCAGTCCTGGGGTGGGGGGGGGGGAGGTGGCCGGTTGATATGGGGGGGGGGGGGGTGTGGGGGTGGAGGCATAAGGTTGGTTGAGCGTCAAGGGGGTCGATTGACGGGGTGTTCAGGGGCAGGGTGTAGGTCATGGAGTCAGTTGAAGAGGTTTAGAGGGCCACGGAACCGGTTGAGGGGCACCCCAGGTGTCGGTGAAGGGGGCCCCGGCGCTACGAGGGTCCGGATTAGTCACACAACAGCCCGCCGTCTACTTGAGGCTCAGGGAACAGGGAACAGCAACAGGGACAACAGGAAGACGGGAACGTCACCTGACTAAGGGGAGGGGGTGGGATTCCTTGTGAGGGGGAGGAAGGGGGGTAGGGGGGGGGGAGGGGTTAACTACATACACCAAGCCTGACTACCGGGTAACTACGAGCCTCGCTCACAGCCCAGACCAGGTACAACACAGGTACTGAGGCAACGCCCGCCTCGTGCACCCCCAGGAGGGGCTGAGAGGGTACAGGAGGGGGCTACAGGAGGGGGCAAGGTGAGGGGCTGTGAGCGTGCCCGGTGCCTAGGGCGGGCTGGGCATGCGGGTGCGGGCCAGAGAGACAATGAACGAAGCCGTCACTCACTGCGGGGTGTGATACGGGTGGTAAGGATAGTACTGGTGGTGCCATACCTCGCCGCCCTCGCTGTAGCCGTACGCAGCCTTACCCGCTGGCGCCACGGCCCCGTGGGCGACGGTGTGGGCACTCGGGGGCACCCCCGCGTGGGGCGACGCCCCCTCGCCCCCGTGGGGGGAGCCTCCGGCACTACTTCTGGCACCCGGCGTCGACGCTGGCGTGGCGGTGCCCCACTTGCAGGCGACGCCGCCGAGGCTCGGGTCTAGCGACGCCGACGACACGGGCACCTCCGTGTACTTCTTGTTGGGGTCGTAGTCGTGCGAGGCCGAGCCCCACATGAGCACCGTCTGGCGGGTCGTGTTGGCGTACGTGTCGCTCTCCTTGCTCTCCTCCTTGTGGGTGGCGGTGCTGGCGGTGCTGGTGGCGGCGGTGCTGGTGGTGATGCCTGGGGTGGCCGCCAGCGCCCCGAGGGACGCCAGGGCCGAGGGGTCGTCCCGCCGCACCTCCCGCAGGTCGCTGTACTTGTGCTCGAGCGACGGCAGGACGGCGTTGCTGCCGTAGACGGTCGTGTAGGCGTCCGTCGGCTTGTACTGGTACTTGGAGGCGTCGAGCTGCGTCGTGCAGTACAGCTTCTGCTCGGCCGCTGTCTTAGTGAGTCCCGTCGTGTCGTAGCCCAGGCAGGGGCGCGCGGGGTCGACGTAGCCGTTGCTGACGTAGCCGTGGGTGACGTAGTCCGGGTAGTAGGACCCGAGCTGTCGGTAGTGGAACAGGTTGTCGGCGGGGAGGTAGCTGGCCGGGTAGAGCGACTGCAGGTTGCCCAGGTTCTGCTGCATGTACAGGCCGTTGTCGGCCGTGTAGGCCGAGGTGCCGTACATGTTGTTGTAGTTGCTGTAGGCCGTGTCGGAGAGGTTGGTGTAGCTCCTCTTGGTGCGGCACGTGGTGAGGAAGTCCCGCAACTGCGTCTTGTACTTGCGGCTCATGCGGGAGGCGTAGAGCTGCGGGAGCTCCGAGTCGCAGAGATAGGACTGTGTGAGTCCCGGGTCCAGGTACGAGACCTTGAAGTCCATCGTCCGCTTCCCCAGCAGGTCCCGCCCCTCCTCTTCCCTGCAACACACATAAAAACGTCAATTTCGAACACTGAAATTTCGATCAGTTGCGCTGACTCTGACCTCCTGAGATTGTCTTCAAGAAACCTAAGACCAGCGATACACCGAGAGGAAGACTTCGAAGGCGAGTATTATCTCATACACGCAAGAAGACCCTCATACCTCAAGTCATCCAGTACAGTATACTGCCTAAGACTCAGATATGTCTTGGACCTCCCGTATCTAGAAACGGGTAAATTTCTGGCACTGAGTTAATTAGAAACTTCAAAGTGTTCGGGGAATCAACTCACTAAAATGTAAATTAAACAAAATTAAAATACTGAATTTTAGATTAGATTATTATTTTAGATTATGCTATCTGATAGAAAAGGTTTTTCAAAAATTGTTTACATGAGAAAATGTAATTATTTACAATAACTTGTATATAATGAGAGTAAATTTCACTTAAGTATTGGTCATATAATTTATTTTATTCCATTAAATATTTGCTCTGCTACATATAGATGCCAGTCGGAATGAATAGACAATTAAGTGATCTATATTATTTTGTGATTTTCAAAAGTGATTTTCATTAGTGGCAAAGTTATTTTCATTATTTAAAAAAAAAATCTTGAATTAATAATATTATATTATATTAAGAACATGAATCATTGACTTAGGATAGGTTAGCTTAGTATTGCTATTTTTTTTTTACATTAGTTTAAACTAAAATTACAACAAATACAATTATATATAGAAAGCTTTATCATTCCATAAAAACAAAAGATTAGAAAGTATGCATTTTCAGGAAAATTAGGCTTGTTAGGCAAATCGGGCCTTGCCTACTAGGCCAAGTAGTGCATTCTGGTTATTAGGTATAACATGTATATATATATATGTCGTACCTAGTAGCCAGAACGCACTTTTCGGCCTACTTTGCAAGGCCTGATTTGCCTAATAAGCCAAATTTTCCTGAATTAATATATTTTGTCTAATTTTTTTCTTATGAAATGATAAAGCTACCCATTTCCTTACGTATGAGGTCAATTTTTTTTTATTGGAGTTAAAATTAACGTAGATATATGACCGAACCTAACCAACCCTACCTAACCTAACCTAAGCTATCTTTATAGGTTAGGTTAGGTTAGGTAGCCGAAAAAGTTAGGTTAGGTTAGGTTAGGTAGGTTAGGTAGCCGAAAAACAATTAATTCATGAAATCTTGGCTTATTAGGCAAATTGGGCCTTGCATAGTAGGCTGAGAAGTGCGTTCTGGCTACTAGGTACGACATATATATATATATATATATATATATATATGAATGAAAACTCACACCCCAGAAGTGACTCGAACCCATACTCCCAGAAGCAACGCAACTGGTAACTACAGGGCGCCTTAATCCGCTTGACCATCACGGCCGTCAAAAGGAAGTGATAGCCGAGGCTATTTGAGTCACTTCCCCGACGGCAACTCGGATGGTAATCTTGGGCATAGCATTTCACCAAATCACCTCATTCTTTGGGGCACACGTGAGGAACACAAATGCGAACAAGCCTGAATGGTCCCCAGGACTATATGCGAATGAAAACTCACACCCCAGAAGTGACTCGAACCCATACTCCCAGAAGCAACGCAACTGGTAACTACAGGGCGCCTTAATCCGCTTGACCATCACGGCCGTCAAAAGGAAGTGATAGCCGAGGCTATTTGAGTCACTTCCCCGACGGCAACTCGGATGGTAATCTTGGGCATAGCATTTCACCAAATCACCTCATTCTTTGGGGCACACGTGAGGAACACAAATGCGAACAAGCCTGAATGGTCCCCAGGACTATATGCGAATGAAAACTCACACCCCAGAAGTGACTCGAACCCATACTCCCAGAAGCAACGCAACTGGTAACTACAGGGCGCCTTAATCCGCTTGACCATCACGGCCGTCAAAAGGAAGTGATAGCCGAGGCTATTTGAGTCACTTCCCCGACGGCAACTCGGATGGTAATCTTGGGCATAGCATTTCACCAAATCACCTCATTCTTTGGGGCACACGTGAGGAACACAAATGCGAACAAGCCTGAATGGTCCCCAGGACTATATGCGAATGAAAACTCACACCCCAGAAGTGACTCGAACCCATACTCCCAGAAGCAACGCAACTGGTAACTACAGGGCGCCTTAATCCGCTTGACCATCACGGCCGTCAAAAGGAAGTGATAGCCGAGGCTATTTGAGTCACTTCCCCGACGGCAACTCGGATGGTAATCTTGGGCATAGCATTTCACCAAATCACCTCATTCTTTGGGGCACACGTGAGGAACACAAATGCGAACAAGCCTGAATGGTCCCCAGGACTATATGCGAATGAAAACTCACACCCCAGAAGTGACTCGAACCCATACTCCCAGAAGCAACGCAACTGGTAACTACAGGGCGCCTTAATCCGCTTGACCATCACGGCCGTCAAAAGGAAGTGATAGCCGAGGCTATTTGAGTCACTTCCCCGACGGCAACTCGGATGGTAATCTTGGGCATAGCATTTCACCAAATCACCTCATTCTTTGGGGCACACGTGAGGAACACAAATGCGAACAAGCCTGAATGGTCCCCAGGACTATATGCGAATGAAAACTCACACCCCAGAAGTGACTCGAACCCATACTCCCAGAAGCAACGCAACTGGTAACTACAGGGCGCCTTAATCCGCTTGACCATCACGGCCGTCAAAAGGAAGTGATAGCCGAGGCTATTTGAGTCACTTCCCCGACGGCAACTCGGATGGTAATCTTGGGCATAGCATTTCACCAAATCACCTCATTCTTTGGGGCACACGTGAGGAACACAAATGCGAACAAGCCTGAATGGTCCCCAGGACTATATGCGAATGAAAACTCACACCCCAGAAGTGACTCGAACCCATACTCCCAGAAGCAACGCAACTGGTAACTACAGGGCGCCTTAATCCGCTTGACCATCACGGCCGTCAAAAGGAAGTGATAGCCGAGGCTATTTGAGTCACTTCCCCGACGGCAACTCGGATGGTAATCTTGGGCATAGCATTTCACCAAATCACCTCATTCTTTGGGGCACACGTGAGGAACACAAATGCGAACAAGCCTGAATGGTCCCCAGGACTATATGCGAATGAAAACTCACACCCCAGAAGTGACTCGAACCCATAAGAAGTGACTCTGGGAGTATGGGTTCGAGTCACTTCTGGGGTGTGAGTTTTCATTCGCATATAGTCCTGGGGACCATTCAGGCTTGTTCGCATTTGTGTTCCTCACGTGTGCCCCAAAGAATGAGGTGATTTGGTGAAATGCTATGCCCAAGATTACCATCCGAGTTGCCGTCGGGGAAGTGACTCAAATAGCCTCGGCTATCACTTCCTTTTGACGGCCGTGATGGTCAAGCGGATTAAGGCGCCCTGTAGTTACCAGTTGCGTTGCTTCTGGGAGTATGGGTTCGAGTCACTTCTGGGGTGTGAGTTTTCATTCGCATATAGTCCTGGGGACCATTCAGGCTTGTTCGCATATATATATATATATATATATATATATATATATATATATATATATATATATATATATATATATAATATATATATATATATATATATATATATATATATATATATATATATATATATATATATATATATTATGTAAGGTATGAGGTAAGTTCCTCATCCCAAAATACTGGAAATATTACATTTATTAAGTAGCTTGTGTGAGCATAAACAGGAGCCACTAACTGGACCTGAGGTCTCCTGTACAACTACACCTGTTGCCAGCCAACATGAGCACGTCAATAAGAGACGCCGAAGTACGACGGCCGCAACCACAAGAGGGGAAATGTATTGTATGCACAGAAGTTGCAGCATAATTGTGATAATTGCAAAAGATACTTCTATGGAGCACTATAGTTAGCAGCAAAGGATTGCGGAATTGTAGTTATAGCAGTGAGATATGTAACGAGATCACTAAACTTGGTTGTTGAGATAAGGAAAACCAGCAACAAATACAGAGCAATCATCCCCAGAGTGAATGTAAAGGCAAGATAATCACTATAGCTGCCGTTGCTGAGGTACGATAACAAGCAGCAGACAATTAAGGTGCTATAATTACCCCAAGTACAATGTCCAGATGTACGATAATTACATCTGTCGACATCTGCCGCTGTCGAGGCGTAAGAACGTTGCCGGCAGCCACTGCACAGATACGATAATTAGACCGGTAGTAAAGAGTGGGGACATGTGAACTAAAATTACCAGGAGACGCAGGAGCATGATAATTACACCATTGGTAAGTGTTGTCGCGCAAAAACTCCATCATCAGTAGATGGAGAGGTACGATAATTGCATATATGTGGCAACAAAAACACACACACACACACAAAAGTATGAAAAACACACCAGTAGGAGATGCACGGGTTCGATGATTGCACCAATGTAACTCGCCTCCAGCAATTAATGTATATATATGTTGGTTAGCATTGTAAATGTGCGGCCACTTCTGTGGTAGAAAATAATAATAATAAAGAAAAAAATGGCTTCTTAATCGAGAGAAAGAGAGAATGATAAATAAAGTAACACTTAGGTGTCGAGGTAAGATAACCTCTTTTAACATTACCACGGCTAGTTCAAGTTACTTGCTCCGGAAACTGTTGAATAGGACTGTATTACTGTGTGATATTGTATTATAAATTACAGCGTTGTATTTTGTAAAAACAACACACACGGCTGGGATAAACAAACACCAGGTTAGGTCTCCACACTTAGAGCAAGAAAACATCTCTCAGTGTGTACCACACGAAGGAGAATAATTCTATTGACAAATTACACTACAACATAATTAATAATTTTTATGTTTTGTTGGGGAGCGAGGGAAGAGAAAGTGTTGAATATATATATATATATATATATATATATATATATATATATATATATATATATATATATATATATATATATATATATATATATATATATATATATATATATATATATATATTAGTATATTTTGGTAGCAGTCTTTCCTGTAGACATATATTATTAAATATGACCGAAAAAGTAAGATTAATATTCTAACACGAATTTTCTCGATCTTTCTTACGTTTCTTTTCACTGTTGATGGTAATTCAAAGATCAATTCTCCAAAATTCATTTTTATTTATAGTCTAAAATAAAAATGAATTTTGGAGAATTGATCTTCGAATTACCATCAACAGTGAAAAGAAACGTAAGAAAGATCGAGAAAATTCGTGTTAGAATTATTAATCTTACTTCTTCGGTCATATTTAATATATATATATATATATATATATATATATATATATATATATATATATATATATATATATATATATATATATATATATATATATATATGTATAATATAGGGGGCCAAACAAGGTACAGGGAGGAAGCCAGACACATACATAAGCGGCCGGTGGGTACAGATGATGAAGTCTGGCTTGGAGTTCTTGTAGACTAGTCTTGAGGAGGTTTGCAGCCACTGCCACGTTCCGTCCCGCGTCTGAAGACGGTAGGCGATCATCCCCGACGCTCCCGTCTTGAGCACTATAGGAGAAGAGGTCGTATAGGGTCTCCAGGTGTCATACAGTGTCACCAGATGTTATACACTGTTACCGCATGTCATATAGGAACACTAGAGGTCATATAATATCATTGGTCATCACCAGAGGTCATTTAGAGTTACCAGAGGTCACACAAGATCATTAGAGGTCACTGAGTCACACAAGGTCACGGGCGTCTCTAGTTATCAAGGGAACCCTCAGTTCTTTACTAGAGGTTACATAGGGGGTAAATATATAGATATGAAAAGGACAACACGTGGTTAAATTACACAAGGGTCACATGGGGGGTAAAAGAGTGTTAATAAAGGTCATTCAGGGGTCACTAGAGGTCATAGTCACAAGAGGTCACAATCACTGGGCATCTCTAGAAATCATACAGGTTCACTGGTCATCACAAGAGGAAATAACATCAATGTGTCAAAGGAGATCACACCAGATATCTCGTGATAAATGATATCACCTGATACCTGGGACCACCTGACACCTGGGACCACCTCACTCCTGAGACCACCTGACACCTGGGACCACCTTTTTCCTGGGACCACCTCACTCCAGGGACCACCTCACTCCTGGGACCACCTCACTCCAGGGACCACCTCACTCCTAGGACCATCTCACTCCTGGGACTACCTGATACCTGGGACCACCTCACTCCTGGGACCACCTCACTCCTGGGACCACCTCACTCCTGGGACCACCTCACTCCTGGGACCACCTCACTCCTGGTATTACCCGTCACCTGTATATCCTCATTCATTTAGTCACCTTACAACTGGTAAAATTTGATACTTAGTGTCACCTAATCCCACCGCTGCCACCATTTGTAACACGTGGAGATGAAATAGGATGATGAATAGGAATATAAAGGAATGGGAAGGGAATATCACAAATGGGAACTAATGGAATGAAATGCCCATATAATATTTGATTATGCCACATTATGAGAGAAATAAAATATAATACAATAAATTCAACTTCCTTGAATCACTGAAAATAGAGCTGATCCTTCTTAATTTACTTAATTTTCGAATAACGTTAAACATTAAGGCACTTGTCATAACCCTAAATTATATATAATGAAACCCAATACCAAAATTATGGCACTTTAATGAACAAAAGTTTATTAATATTCTAAAATAAGAAATTCTTGCTAGCTGATTATACTGACCTTTTCTGACGCGACTCTCACTGAACTTAAGATCATGATAACGACGAGTCTCATTGAATCACTGAACATAAAGTTCATTTCATTTGATATCCTCGATATTCAATGGTTAATATAAATCTCCACAAAGTGGATAACTGCAATATACTTTCATTTTATTTTTTGTTAAATCTTACATAGTTTACTATTCTTAATGGTTAGATGTTACTTAATACTTACGCTCCTGGTGGGCAGAGGCAACGTAGGCGAGGTCATCGTAGTGAACAAGGTCGTAACCGCCCTTGTTAGCGAGCTCCAGGTCACTGTACCCCAACAGCATCTTGCCTCTGTGGGAGAGCATGGGAGGGTTAGGCAGGCTAATTGGGAAGGGAGAGGGGAAGGTGGGGGAACGAGGGAGGTAGACATAATAACGACGTACAAGATATCAAGGGAAATTGACAAGGTAGCGATAGAAGCAATGGTCAAATTAAGGAACCGTAGAACGAGAGAACAAAATTGGAAACCGGAAACACAGATTAGTGACTGAGATGTCAGAAAAAAAACTTGTACAGTCTAAGAGTCGTAAGTGGACTGGACTAGATGAGGAAGCTGTCTAAGCTTATTCGATACTCAGCTGTATATGTAAATATAATAAGAAAACGAGTGAAAAGAGTCATTGTATTGAACTAATAAAGGTCGAGCTTATAGCTCGACCTTTATTAGTTCATGCTCGAACAGATGCTAGACGCTGCAAGCTCATCTAGGTGAGTGCACACACACACACACACACACACACACACACACACACACACACACACACACACACACACACACACACGCACACGCACACGCACACACAGTGGAGCATCTGGAGCGAAAGAACTTTGTAACAGCATCAACATGGGTTCAGGGATGGCAGGTCCTGCCTCACAGGGCTACTTGAATTCTACGACCAGGCAACAAAATAAGGCAAGAAAGAGAAGGGTGGGCAGACTGCATATTTTTGGATTGTCAGACAGCCTTTGATACAGTGCCACACAAGAGGCTAGTGAAAAAGCTGGAGATGCAGGCTGGAGCGAAAGGGAAGGTACTCCATTGGATAAAGGAGTACCTAGGCAACAGAAGACAAGTACCTAAGCAACAGGCGAGACGTTACAAGTGGAGTCCCGCAGGGTCAGTCCTTGGACCTATACTGTTTCTGATATATGTAAATGATCTCCCAGAGGGTATAGAATCGTTTCTCTCAATGTTTGCCGATGATGCAAAAATTATGAGGAGGATTGAAACTGAGGATGATAGTAGGAGGCTACAAGATGACCTAGACAGACTGAGTGAATGGTCCAACAAATGGCTGTTGAAGAGTAAATGCAAAGTAATGAAACTAGGCGGTGGAAACAGGAGGCCAGACACAGGATACAGAATAGGAGATGAAGTACTTGATGAAACGGAGAGAAAGAAAGATCTAGGAGTTGATATCACACCAAACCTGTCTCCTGAAGCCCACATAAAAAGAATAACGTCTGCGGCATATGCGAGGCTGGCTAACATCAGAACTGCCTTCAGGAACCTGTGTAAGGAATCATTCAGAATCTTGTACACCACATACGTAAGACCAATCCTGGAGTATGCGGCCCCAGCATGGAGCCCGTACCTTGTCAAGCACAAGACGAAGCTGGAAAAAGTCCAAAGGTATGCCACTAGACTAGTCCCAGAACTAAGAGGCATGAGTTACGAGGAAAGGCTGCGGGAAATGCACCTTACGACACTGGAAGACAGAAGAGTAAGGGGAGACATGATCACAACCTACGAAATCCTCAGGGGAATCGACCGGGTAAACAAGGATAAACTATTCAACAGTGGTGGGACGCGAACAAGGGGACACAGGTGGAAACTGAGTACCCACATGAGCCACAGAGACGTTAGAGGGAACTTTTTCAGTGTCAGAGTAGTTAACGGATGGAATGCATTAGGCAGTGATGTGGTGGAGGCTGACTCCAAACACAGTTTCAAGTGTAGATATGATAGAGCCCAGTAGGCTCAGGAATCTGTACACCAGTTGATTGACAGTTGAGAGGCGGGACCAAAAAGCCAGAGCTCATCCCCCGCAAGCACAACTAGGTGAGTACAAATAGGTGAATACACACACAACCCAATGCAGCTGTCCAACTCGCCGATACCTGTTTACTGCTAGGTGAACAGAGGCATCAGCTGGAAGACTCTCAGCTTCTTTGTTTAAGCGTTGTGTATTAAACTCCCTGTACATGCACCCGTTTCTATAAGTATTTGTTAACGCCTACGATTAGACCTGAGCGAATGCATACCCGTGCGTGAACACCGCTGCACATGACCTTTAGCATGAGCGCTCGTGCTGTGCTCTGCAGGCGCGGAAGCGTGCGCATGTGCGTGAACGCACCACCTCCCAGGTACATGGGTGAACACATGTACCTCACTACAGCTCCTGCTGTAGTCAGGCGTCTCGCTAAAGAAGTCTATTCAAATTAATTCAATTTCTTTCATGTGTTATATGAGAGAAGAATGAAGAGAGGACGAATAGTAGTAGTAGTTGTAGTTGTTGTTGTAGTAGACATTGTTCTGGTTGTGGTAGTAATTGTTGTTGTTTAGTAGGAGTAGTGGAAGTAGCAGTGGTAGGAGAAGTAGTGGTATGAGGAGTAGGAGCAGGAGGATGCAGAAACTGCTCAACAGTAGAAAATGGAGGAGGAAGAAGGATGAGTAGGTGAGCAAAAAGTGGAGGAATGAAAGGAAATAGATAAATAAGTGGAAAAGTAGGAGGAAGAGGATGATAAATACGAAGAAGAACAGAATATCTATATCTATACATGTGTGCCTTCCTGTCTGCTTGAGGTCTAGACGACAGACGCTCGGCGCTAGTCTCACCCAGCTTTGCACTGTGATTCCTGTAGGGTACATGCCCAACACTGTCATGCAACCTTTTGTTTCAATATACGGTATAAACAGACACCGACAATTCCTCCCGGCACGTTATAGGGCCCAAACCAACGCAGACGTTATAAACAATACCGACGCAATCCCGTCATTATAAGCAGTGATTACTGTATGCAGTCATTTAAGAATAAGATTTGGTTCGCATTCTTATGTGATATAAGGAACTCGGGTTAGGTATATTTAGACAGTTCTAAGTGCTATATAGGCGTAATGGCTTGGCGCTTTCCCCTGATAGTTCCCTTCCCTTCACCCTGATGCCCCTCTTCACCTAGCAGTCAATTAAGTACCTGGGGGTGTAAGACAGCTGCTACGGGCTGCTTCCTGGGAATGTGTGTGTGTGGGTATGCATGTGTTAGAGAGAAATATATATATGTAATAAATATAATATAGGGGAGAAAAATATAGTTTAGAAAGGCGAGGTCCAAGAGCTAACAGCTCGATTCTGTAGACACAAAACCGGAAACATTTTGTATTTACTATTTACAAATAGTAAATAGTAAATTTACAAGTAATTTCTAATTAAATTTAAATTTAAATTTAAATCTATTTACCTGTAAATAGTATTTACTGTAAATAGTATTTACTATTTACAAATAGTAAATACCCATACATGGCGCGCATCGAACCAGCCACAAAAGAAAAAACAACAATGTAGTGTATATCGCCAGGGTTGTGAAGTGTGACCCACGAGGTAAACATTGCACCTGTGATCGCTGGGCCCCGAGTGCTAATTAACCCAGGTGAGAACTTTGGTCCCCCAGGCCGTAAACAGCGAGCAGTTTTATCACCAACAAATGAGAGAGTTCGAGAGGCGAGCGAAAAACGCTAATGACACCTGTAATGGGATTTTTAAATATTAATGTCTACCTTGACCAGATCAAAAATTAATAGTTAGATCAGAATGTTTATGATCCCGTAGCTATGGGACGAGAGGAGGGGGGTGAGGGGGGAGAGTATAGATACGAGAAATAGATTTTTGACCCTTTATACCCCCCCCCCCCCTCAGCTATGCCCTACCCCATACACACTGGCGCCCTAAACCACCCAATTACACTCGTTAATGCTAACAACCCACAATATAATCAACCCCCCACCCCCCTACGTCTATTTAACACCCCACCCCCCCCTTCAGGAGTCAATTATGCATACGAACAACCGACCGAGCTCGGAGCTAATGACCCAACTCAAGGGCCATAAAAACTTTGCACCAAATAATACTCGCAACTTTTAACTCAGAGCACTCGAACCAAAACCAGTAATTTCCATTAAAAAAAAAAGGGGGAAGTAACACTAATGCATGTTGACACTGTATCGGGCCGGCCCAATCCTGCCGATCCATTTGCTAATGGGAACAGAGATTGCGTGCAAAATGGCTTAATATTTAGATGCAAAAAAATGGAAAAATCCTTCACCAGTTTGCGTGTGTGTGTGTGTGTGTGTGTGTGTGTGTGTGTGTGTGTGTGTGTGTGTGTGTGTGTGTGTGTGTGTGTGTGTGTGGTGTGTGTGTGTGTGTGTGTGTGTGTGTGTGCTCATTTGGTTGTGCTTGCAGGGGGGGGTTGAGCTCTGGCTTTTTGGTCCCGCCTCTCAACTGTCAATCAACTGGTGTACAGATTCCTGAGCCTACTGGGCTCTATCATATCTACATTTGAAACTGTGTATGGAGTCAGCCTCCACCACATCACTGCCTGTGTGTGTGTGTGTGTGTGTGTGTGTGTGTGTGTGTGTGTGTGTGTGTGTGTGTGTGTGTGTGTGTGTGTGTGTGTGTGTGTGTGTGTGTGTGTGTGTGTGTGTGTGTGTGTGTGTGTGTGTGTGTGTGTGTGTGTGTGTGTGTGTGTGTATCTGTGTGTGTGTGTGTGTGTGTGTGCTCGCCTGTTTTCGTTCACCTATTTATGCCTGCAAGATTAACTTTTGCCTCAAGGATCCGCCTTTCCAACCAAAAGTTACTTAATGCAATGACTCCTGACCTAGTTTTCTATCATAAAAAATAATGAAAAAAAAATAATGAAAAACTGGAATTGGCTTCTTCAACTTACTCATTTAATTCATGACATTTTCTCACTGTTTAATATGTTAAAAAAAGTACAACTCTATGGCCGATCAGTTTCCTTAATTACCACTCATGTCTTCTTGTTCCTCTGTGATTAGGTTTTCTTACCTCTCAGTTCATCTAAGATTTTCCCTAAAAAAAATCATATTTCCTAAAGATTTTTTTATGGTGAGGCCTCCACGGCCGCGCTGCATACTGAGGGACTGGTCTCACGTTCGTTGTGTACTGTAATCTGAATGTCTTTTTCTTTCGAGAATAGGATGTTGTCTTGACGTACGCCATTTTAGCGGATGCTGGTGACGTTATCCTGATTATATGAGCCACCAGAGGTAAGAC